GTGAGATTTTCTGTCCACATTATTCAAAAATATTAAATTAATAAAAATGAATTGGTTGACATAACCTCACTTTTGTGTCACAATCGTGATAAACCGATCAAATAATTATTAAAACGAAAGTGAGGTTATGTTAACCACTTCATTTTTTATTAATTTAATATTTTTGAATATTGTGCAGTAAATCTCATGAAACTACCGGAAACTACAAAACAAAACAAAGAATTTTTATTTTTAAAAATGTAAAAAATGAAAATATTTTTATTTCTACTGTTTTAATAATTATTTAATCGGTTTATCACCATTGTGACACAAAAGTGAGGTTATGTCAACCAATTCATTTTTATTGATTTAATATTTTTGAATATTGTGGATAGAAAATCTGACAAAATTAAAAAACAAAAGATTTTTTATTTTCAAAAATGTAAAAAATTAAAATCTATTTATTTCTACAGTTTAACGCAGTCCCAAGTCAGTATAATACGCTTTTCGAAGAGTGTACACGCTCTTCTCACACTCTTCGTATAGTTTTATTCGACTCCCTTCTCACACTCTTCTCACACTCTTCTCACACTTTTGCATAAAACACGTATATTGAGTGAGAAGAGAGTGTGTAATGGTATTGGTAATGCTATCACTGCTGTCACTGCATTCTAGTGGAAGTAATGTTTGTATTTTGATATTTGAACGTTTTTGACGTTTATAGCATTCGTCAGTTGTGTCAAAATACAACAGAACTACAAATTCATTTTTTTTGTATACGTTCATTTTTTTCAAAATGTCAAAAATAAACAAAATCAAAAACTATCCATCAGTGGAAAAATTTATTGTAAAGGAAAAAAAAGAAAATTTTTTAGAGAAAAAAATTGAAGCTACGGAGCAATAAACGTGTTTTATGCAAAAGTGTGAGAAGAGTGTGTGAAGGGAGTCGAATAAAACTATACGAAGAGTGTGAGAAGAGCGTGTACACTCTTCGAAAAGCGTATTATACTGACTTGGGGTTTAATCGATTCATTATGATTTTGCCAAACTGTGACGGCCATATTGTCACAAACGTCAATTAGTACTCGGAATACGCATTAGAGGTGTTGTTAGTTACGGGCATGATCAGGCGCTTCGTATAAATTAGGCTTCGCTTGTGACGTCATTCTTCGCACTAGATTTACTAGTTTTTCTAGTATTCACTAGCGTGATTCTCCCCATGTATTGCTTGATATTAGTTGGGCTTTGATTTTGCCAACTGAACATGGGAAGCAATTCATTCGTCGTCACCTTTCGAAACTTTTTCTTTCGCTCATTTATTCGTTGGCTTAGGACCATTTGTAGTCTTGGCTTGAGATGCAAATAGAGAGGGGAAGAGAGAGAGAGAGTAAGAAAGATAGACAGAAAAACTAGTATGTAAGTGAAAATAGTATTCGGTAAAAATCTTCTCTTTCTCTAAGAAAACCATCGAAAATAGTATTCAACTATGTGCAATTTGTATTTGGCATATATAGAGAACGAGATACATATATGTCGTAAAACTAGGAATAAAAATTCTTGTCTCGTTCATCGTAAATTTTGCACACTGTTGTATTGTGTGGGTATGTGTCGCTATGGAGGATGCTGCTCTTACAACATCTAAAAATCGATATTGTGGAAAAAACGCAATAGCAAATCGCTCATTGTTCAAAGCTTGGAGAAAGAAAAGAGCAAAAGAAGAATCGGAAGCGACATTTTTGAACGGTGTTGGGTAACGAGTCAGAATAAATTCTAAAGAATATGTGTACACCAATAAAATGTATTCATCTACATTCTCATTATGAAGAAAAAAACGCTTATTCTAAGAATAATATTCTTTCGATGTTCGTTTGGAAATTTGCGTACTTCACCTCACTATAGCCAAACATCGAACGGTATGAAATGAGGCATTCAAAGTTCGTCGTTTTGCCTTTTTTATGCATAACATTTTTAAACGAAACAACGTCGTGAATGTTAGTAGCGCCATCGCCAGCAAATCTATACACATCTTTTAGTTGTGTTCGTTTTTTTCTCTCATTTTGGGTGTAAGCAGGTGTGGTACAGACAATACTTTAGCTGCGGTTGTCTTTTGCTATGTTTTTTTTTTCTTTGAACTAAACGAACGCATCGCGATTTCCCAAGGAAAACGTTGCATCGCTAAAAAATAATTATCTATACTTTGGTTTGGTATTGGAGCTGAAATTGTTTGGTGCGCAGTTGTTTCACTTCATGTTTGACACGAGACAGTATACACGGACAAAAATCGGTGCTGCGAAAAAACTGCGCTAAAAATTCACCAATAAATGCGAATACTTTTTAGTAACAACAATAAGAAAAGAAGAAGAAAAATACGGAAAAGAGAACTCGATAATGTTGGAACATGAACTCATTGAGTAAATATTACATTCGTTGCGCAAAAATACACACAACTCTGTTGGCCGATATAATGAAGAAGCTATCACCTGTCCGGCTGTTGTGTGTGTAATTTACTTGCGCTCGATTGTCGATTATATTCAATTTACATTTTAATTTGGCATTTTAATAGTATAGCGTTTGTTTTATTTTTATTTTTTTGCTGCGAAGAGGAGAAAATACTTTGGCTCGAGTCAAGCCATTTTCAGCAACTTTAGCACGTTTTCCATTCTCTTAATCAAACCATTCTGTTCTGTCTTCCTACGCAATAACGATTATGACGAAAATTTTACTCTCTGGATTCAATGTGAACAATAACAAAACTAAGGGAAGCACGAGCGAACAAGAGAAAATCTCTGGTTTTTCACATTGCAATGAGGGCAACGAATTATGTCATGTAAAAAAGAATCCGTTTAAAATCGACCGATGGTTTTGGGTAAATGGCAGCTAGCAAATGTTATGTGTGTGGCAAGTGTAAGTTTGAGTGATTTTTTGTGAATTGTTATTGCTACCGATATACCACTGATGACTCTAATGATGGTTGTATGTTTTTGATGTGCGCAGCACCAGCAAAATTTTCAGCCACAATTGGCCGTGTATGAGTGAGATCGAACGCGAGTTAAGGCAATTTTTTTTTACATTTATGTGGATTTGATGTGCTGCTGTAAATGTATTTTGCACATCATGCATTCAATGTTGCCTTTCTTCTTAACTCCACTACTAGTTCCCGTTCATCAGCAATAGCAGCAACTCCTCCACCATATATTCATTTTCTGCGCGCACCGTTGTTGTTACCGTTCTATTTGATTTTGTTGTAACGCTTTTTTTCTCGTCGTTTTGCTCACTACTTGCTAAACTCCGCAAACGCGCGATAAATTCGCATCATTTCCTTTCACATTGTGTGTGTACAGCATATTGGTTGTCTTTATTTTTTTTACTTATTCACTTACTTGCTTACTTGCTGCGTTGGGCATATGGAAATTGGTTTAGTTTATGTATAATATGTATAAATATTTGTTGTTGTCTTCGAAATCGGGTTGCCCATGCATGCGCGCCAGTGTGTGTATATGCCAGTGAGAAAGAAACACACACACAAAGAGAGAGAGGGGGGCAGTGAAAGAGATTTTCCATTATACGCTGTTAGAAAAGCTTCCATAATAAGAAACCATGAACGACTATGGAGAGAAACGGCTTCCATTGAAAATTCCCTCTTTAAAGCGTAAAAAAAAAGAATTCATCTTCTGAGTCCATTGTTACGGTGCCATCATCATAGATAGCATCTTTCTCTGTCACAATTTATTACGTTTTTGGGTGCCATACTCACAAAACGATTGGTGCAAATGGAAAATGCAAATTTTGTGTAATAAAATCGCCTCGAAATCAACATTAAATCCATAACATACAGTAATAAAATCACACAATTATTTCGGTGACATTCAAACTGACATATAAATCTTGAAAGCAAGCAATCAGCAATCCAACACCATCGGCTAAAACGCACTGTCTAAATATTTTCTCTGGTAAAATACACACAGATTCGTCGTCTGATGGCTGTTATATATTCAAAAAATACGTCCGTTCGCATAGTAACTCAATTAAAATGTACATGGTCAGAAAATTAAATGCGATTAAAATTGAAAAAACAATTTGCGATTTTATATTGTAGAAACGGAGCATCTTATATACAATGTATGTATTAAAAAAGCCTACAAAAAGCTCAACAGAAATCATGCACACGCATCCAGACCACAGTGCACTAAGAAATTCAATTGTGTGAATGATTTTTATTTATTTAATTTGTTTCGGGTTTGGTTTGCTATTGTTTCCAGTTTTCTGTCATTTTAGTTTTTTTTCCCTCTTAACCGTGTTTGTATGACACACAGTACAGTATAATGATTGTAAGAAGACGTGTTATGTGTATTTTCATGTGTGTATGTATGTGTGTATCAGTCCGCATGAATTCGGAAATGTGCGGTGTGTGACGGCCAGTCGACAAAAAGAGAGTAAACGAATGAAGAAAATAGTATTATGCGATTTAGCGCCACGAAATCTTGGAACGAATACACGGTTAACAAAGACGGTTGGCACTGGCAAACAGTGCGAATGTAAAAAGGCCTAAGCGTTGATTTTTATGGTGATAAAGTTGTATGGCATTTGTGTTTATTGAATCATTTGACGGTTCATGACTCTAAAGATTCTTCAACCGTTGAACGGCAGCAACATTGTTGATCCATCATGGAATAGCACTCGCTGTGCACTGTGTGCTATGTGTATACAAGTGTATGGGAATCCATCCGATTACGACGATGAAAATTGTACACGGGGCTTTTGAGAGTTTGTATATATCTTCTTAGTGTCGTGTCGGTTTAAATGCTGGTGCGCGTTGCGTGCACGTATTGCGGTTACTGTGTGTTAACGTGTTAAACAAATAGTAAGAGCGATAGAGAGAGTGAATAAGTTGCAATAGTGAGTGAGAGAGAGAGAAAGGAAGAGACCTAGCATATTTTCTCTCTTGCTCTTCACACGAAAATATAATCATTGGCCCGTCACTGACAGCAACACCGCACAGCACACAGTCTGTTTTAGTTTGTATCAAAGTGTAGGTGGGTCAAAACACTGTTGTATTCACTGGTGTGTTGTTTTCAAACAGAAGTAGCAGCAGCAACAGTAACTGCTTAAAACGAAAAAAACCAGTTGACAGCAATTCGGTGAATAAAATTGTTTCTTATTTTATAAGCAGTTCGCTCCAATCGGAACAACAACAACGCAATTGAACAAGTAGTTAAAAAGAGATAAATTTGAGCGAGCAAAAAAAAATTTTTTCATAATACGTACCAAAGTGTTCACGTTTAATAATAAAATAATTAAGATAAATTTATTCGAAAGAAACGTGGCGAAACAATTTTCATGGAGATTCATTTGTCGATGGCAAAGTGCTAAAAATATATCGAGAGTGAGATTAATCGAATCTAACTGAAAAATTGTTATAATTGAACCTAAATTGAGAGAACACAAATTGACGTTGATGTGATTTTCGTGTGGTAAATTATGTGATTAAATTAGCATCGAAAAGAAACGAGAAACTTAATGGAAATTGTTCTTATCAATGGCATTCGATTTGAAAAGAAAAAATGTCCTTATCCATGGAATTTGGATATGGTTTCCTTGAATTTAGGTATATATAACACTAAAAGAAATTTGTATTTCCACCGAGAAAAAAGGGTAAAAAAATATCAACTGCAAATATTTGGATAGAATTTCTCATCGAATTTATTGGTATCGAATAGTAATTCAATAATTTTCCAAATGAAACGTTGTTCGGACAAACCAGCCGCCATAAATTTTATCCATTTTTTGTCCATTTATTCGTTCGTGTTCCATACGCAATTTTCCATTTATGTGAAAATCTGACAAGGAATTATAAAATATATGTGCTGCAGTCTTAAGTTATTTTGTCTATCAAAAAAATTAGATTCACTGTACACAGTGCAACTGTAAATTAAATGTTAACGCGGTCTTGTGTGCATATTTATTTCACATTTATTCCGCACAATTATGATTTAATAAGCGTTGAGCGAATTAGTACTGTGTGTTTAAAAGCTACATTTTTTATAAGTGGTCGAGAAATTATTCATATTTTTTTTTTTTTGCTAAAATTGAATTCATATTTTTTGCTCTACAACAAGTCGGTGTATTCGGTTTTCAAGTAATGTGATTTACGTTTACTTACAATTTTTCGACAAATACCTTTTACTCTTTCAATGTTTTATTTCGGCATTCATAGCAATCAATTCGAGCAATTTTTAGTCGTTAATTTTGCATGTTAATGACAAAAAAGCGAACAAGAGAGATGTGATGAAAACAACAGAAAATAAATAAAAGCAGGCATACAGCACATAATAAATGGCAATAATCGTGATAATTTTGTATTTATGTGTAAGTGTATTGCTTTGTTTCAACTTACACACAGTGAATGAAGGTGGCAAGACACGATGAAAAAAATAGATTTTCTATTATAAAATTTGCTTAATGAAAAACGTCTCTCTGAATATGCGATTTTTATTGTTTTGTCTTCGTTTTGTGCATAGCAGCTTGAGGTAGTAAGTGAAGGAGAAAATGAATGAATGGAATGAATACGAACCAGAACCAAAGAGTGATATGGGAGAGAGCGAGACATTATGATGTATATATGTGTTTGGGTGTATTTTTTGAAAATGATATGCGACATAGATCCATAACATTGTATGCGCGGTATTTTAAGTTCGTATAAAGTTAGTATATCATTGAATAATCGAGCGCGGTTTTAAATGTATCTTTGCACTACGATTGTGTGCTTCAATTTTCATTTATGTTTTTATTTGCGAATTAGCAGTGCACAAAGCCACGGCGCGATAGAGTAGAGAGTGGAATGAACAAAAAAAGCAAACTCCATGAACAAAAAATGGCAGAAAGAATAATCGAATACATTTATGAATGCACCGACACATATGCATGCATGCATATATTCGCTGCACTGCACAAGCACTGATTCGGTCTTCGCGATGTCTGCACTGCTGCTACTGCTGCTGCTATTCAAACGTTCGGTCTATATATTTCCATACTAGAATCGAACAATGTACATCATCTTGTAAAATCGTTTGTGAACTCGGCCTCTCTCTCTATCCTCCGTCATATTTCATGCGCCATCTTTCTCGCTTTTTCCTCTCTCGCACTCCCCGCTCAGTGTCGCAATCGTCGTTCACCGTATATTCTCACTCGATTTGCCATGGAGTGGTTGCCTCTGTGCAATATATATTTAAATAACCGAACCGATCATATTAATAACTAATAAATGTGCGCTGCTCTGCTCTTCAATTCAACAAAACTTTTCGCCATTAATTAGTTAAATTGATTTTGCTGTCCTTTGCAATTGAAAATCAAAATTACGAATCACTAAGCACACAAATTATCACTTACCAAATGAGGAAGGGAGAGAGAGAGAGAGAGAGAGTTGATCCAGTGAATGCGTATATTAATTTCTCCAAATCTGTGTCTGTGAATGAACCTTCCGCAAAGTATAGATTTCGCAATTGAAATTTTGTTGTGCTGGAGATACAATAGAGCGAGAAATCGAAAAAAAACTCTATCGACCCGACCAAAAACAAAAGAGAGCGATGAAGAGATGGAGAGGGCACACAAGTTCAATGAACGTTACCATTTTGTTTTTTATTTTATTCATTCGCATTACATTGATTTAAAATTTATTGTTCGAATAGTAGCGCTACTAACAACATTAAAATGACAAAATGTAATTTCTCACAACGATTTGAATAATGGAAACACACTCCATTTGACTGCATCAAAATCGAAGGCTGACATTTTCTCTCTCTTTATCTATCGCTCACTCCTTTTTATGAAAAAAAAAAACAAACAAACATACAATTTGAAATTCGCTCGATTCGTTGTGTGTGTGAATGGTTGGTTATGTGAATCAATTACAATTGTTCGCCCGTTATATTTCCTTCACGGCGATTTTACATTGGTCGGCAACTTTTATGTATGTACAACGATTGTACGGCGACTTAAAGAGTGAATGAGTGAAAAATAGTGACAAAGTTTATGTGTTCGTGCTTGAGCTCTTAAGAGCGGCCCTCAATGCAATCACGATACACCGTATAAATGTATATACCGATACAAACGATTTTAAACGAAAAACAAAACAAAAATTATACGAAAAAATGGGATTCGGAATATTTCACTTTAAAGTATTAATATTTCCTAATGCGCACGGCGGAAAATATTTCGAATTCGAGCCGAAAAAAAACATAGTCATTCGCGCATACTCTCTCTAGAAAATACACAAGTCAACAAGAACTGGGAACAAAATCAGTGTAATGAATATGAAAACCAATGATTGAAATTGAACAACAATACATGCAAAAGTATCAAATAGCAGTTGCAGATCATACACAACCACTTTATGAAGCGAATTAACTGTGTTCACCGCACAATTTTCTTTGCGGCGTTTGCTTTTTTTCATTACTTGGTAAGAGAAGTGAAACAGAAAAAAATGTATTTCTTTCCTACTTTTCGTTCGGAGTGTATTTAACAAAGAAATGTGCTTGGTTCGTTCGCCATTTGAATGGTAATTGTTTCGTCGCGCCTCTATTTCAGTTCATATCCCTCTATTTTGCTTTCATTTTTTTCTGCGGCTACCGCTGCTGCTTTTTTGTCTTCGTCGCCGCCACCATCATCGTCGTTTTGTACATGGACATATTGGATTTGATCAAATATCCGAGCAAATTGTTTGTATGTTCGTGAATTAATTTTGTGTTTGCCAAAAACGAATCGAAAATCATTGTACAGGGTGGGCCAGAATAAGTGTCGCTTTTATATATGCTCAAAAAACGTATTGTTTTTCACTAAAATTGAACAAAAACTTAATTGGGATTTAGAAGAGGGTCCAAAATTTTAGATTCATGTTTTGGTTTTGATTCTTCCTCCATTTGCACGGACCACCAAACGCAAACGTCGTAAAAACGATTTACACGCGGCGCGCACCATTTCGATGGGAATATCGTTCCAAATCTTGACGATTTTCTTTTTGAATGCATCCAATTTTGTAATTTTCTTAATCTTCAGATCATTTAACTTCGATTGCATGTAGCCCCACACAAAATAATCCAACGGATTTAGGTCTGGAGACGATGGCGACTACTCATCTTTGTTCAAAAAATCAGGCACATTTTCTCTTAACCACTGTTGCACTTTGTTTGCTCGATGTGCCGGTGCCCCTGAAACATCTTGCTGAAACACCCACGGTTCATCACCAAACACAGCTTCGGCATGTGGCAACAAGTTTTTGCGCAATATTTCTTCTTCATACACAGCTGCGTTAACAAGGGGAAATTTGTGGCCACCACTCAACCACTCAACACATTTTGAAATCGTTCAACGACTAAATCATCTTCAGGAATGTCCTCAATTGACGCTGCATACACGCGATCATTTTGCGCATTGGGACTTGGCTGCAAAAGGAACAACTTTTCGTCTGAAAAAAAAATGTTTGAGGATGCGCGCCGGCGTAGCAGTTCTTTGCATTTTTGCTTTCTATCTTGCTTATTTTTGATTGTCAAGCCGTGTTTTCGGGTTTTTTTAAATGGTTTAACTCCCAAATCTTCTTTCAACACTCTTCGCATTGAAGATCTACTGATATTGTGCTCACGAGCCAAGATTCCAGCGCTTCTTTTGTTATTTCGACGAATTTTGTCTCGTACCTTTTTGACCAGATCTTTTGTTCTTACGGATTTTTTTCTGTCCGGTTTTCGCTTCACATCGACTGTTCCATGTTCCTTGTATCGTTTTATGGTGCGCAGAATAAATCTCAAATTGATATTGTCGCTCTGAAGCTTCCGAAAAATATCAACTTGTCGCAAACCTTTTTTGTGCAAATTCAAAACTAGTTGACGTTTCACATCCATTGCTATTGTAAAGTAAACAAGAACTGCGCAATACTGTGCATCGTCACAGTGGATTGCACAAACATGAATAAACATACCGGTGAACCAAAGGGTGATCGGAAAGCATTGTAGTTGAAATTACGTAGGTGCAAAAAAAAGCGACACTTATTCTGGCCCACCCTGTATTTTTCTGGCCCGAAAGGAAAAAAATGTGTTCGGCAGATTATTTTCGTCTTTCATTGTGCGCTGTTCACTGAACTTCACATATGACATTTCATCGTATTTGCAGTGTCAGTTTTTTTCTCTTTCTTTCTCGCATCATTTTTCTCACTGGAAATTGTGTCCAGGCGAATTCAATCGAACTGTTTTTTTTTCTCACGCAGCGTAAATGTGTAGAGTGTAAAGAACTATTGTACATCGACAGAAAATGATACATTTACTGTAACGCGAACAAATCCGAGTAAAACAATTTGATTTCTTTTTTTATTTGTTTCAAAAGAAGACGGTTGATCTGTAATAAGAATATGAAATATACAAACTCAACAACAAAAGAATTCAGCTTGAATCCAGATCGACACACAAACAAGGAGAACCAAAGAAAAAGTGTGTATTTTCGCTTAGTTCTCGGTCGGTATGTGCGTGAAACAATTACTCTTTACGGAACAGATAAAAAAGGAAAAAACATCGGCGACGATATACATATACAATAGAAGCAAGAAACAAAAAGAAAACGAAGAGAAAAAAAACGTATTTTAGAATATTTAAAAAATTGAAAAGAAGTTGAAAATACAATTAAATAATCAAAAAAGTATTGCTATACGAACGAAAACAAAAATTATACGCGAATATTCATCCCCACTCATCGTCATCAATATTACCGCAGTCCTGTTCGTCGTTGTGAACCTTAACAAAGAATAGCAGCAACACACAGTCAGCAACAACAAAAAAGAAAGGAAAAAAATACACACTCGTTAATATCATTTAAAATATGCAAAAGTAGTAAGCAAGTTAAAAAAAAAAGGAAAACAAAAAAGAAAATATTATTACAATTTTGAAATGAAATTAAAGTGTGCAACGAGAATGTAGCATTCTGGATAATGTTGAGCTCATGCTATTTATATGTGAGTTAATTTATAATTTATTTATCATATATAGTTTTAAATGCCATAGTAACTTCTATCTATACATTTGCCACACAATCATTCATCCATTCAGTTTTGTGACATTTTGCCTCTCGTCGCAATTGAATCGTTGCGGCGAAACAGTAGCTCTTATTTTTCTCCAAATAATACTGCAACATGAAGTTTTTTTCACACGGTTTATTTGTTGTAATACAACGAATAAAGTATTCATAAAAAACTTTATGTTGCAGTATTATTTGGAGAAAAATAAGAGCCACTCTTTCGCCGCAACGATTCAATTGGTCATTGGCTTCGAAATTCTCTTATTTTTAATTTCAATCGATAAATGACTATTTAGAGAAAATGAACTAACACGAGCGACTTCGAAATGACCTGTATCGATTTTACAGTACATTGTTTTGTGGTTGGAATAAACCCCTTTTCGATATAAAGGATTCGAAATAATTTTATTTTTGTTTCGAATGTCTAATTTTAAAAATTACTTCATCTCATTCGGTCGATATTGCTCTATGAATTTCAAAATTACTATATGCATATATAGATCGTGAACAAATTCAATAAAGCATTGGGTATCGCCCTGAAGAAATCATCATATACGCTTTACGCAAGGCAACACACACATTTTTTGTTCCCTTTTGCATATACATAAAACCAAATCATCATCCATTCCGCCATATTTGTGTGGCCATTTGACTTGAAAGGAAATACTCGAAAAGTTTCTCTTTCTTACTCTCTCTCACTCACTTATTGTGTATGTGTGTTCCATACCGCGAGTCGGAAATTTGCTCTATTGTATGCCATTATGTAGCTGTGTATTACACTATACGTATATGTGCAATTTACGTATGATACATAAAACATTCAAAAAGACAAGAAAGAAAACAACAACAACGGCAGCATACAGAGCAGCAGCACCCGAACCAGCGACCGTACGTTGGAATGGAGAGGAATAGAAAAAGAGTACGCGCATCGGGTAAACAGAGAGAAGCTGAAGCAAATGAACATACGAACAAAAAAAGAAAAGAAAAAAACACATTTAGTACCAAAAGTGTATAGAGTGTAGAGAGACTAGAGAAAAAATCGATATAAAACGCGACCACGTATATCGTTTATGCCTTATGTGAAATAACGTTTGTTCATCCAGCAGCAGCACCATCACCAGAACACATTATTACCTTTTAATTGTCATTCATTGTCTTCTCTCTGGGCATATTCAGAACAATTGTCAATCAAATCAAAGACCTAGCGAGGAAAAACATCCAAAATGATTTTCAGGGAAAAAAGGCCAAAATATTCGTTAACGACGACGAACGAAAAAAGAAGAAAAATTAAGAATTATAGCATATCGTTCTGCGAACGATGAAAATCAAATATATATAGATCATAATGTGAAATTCAACGCTCATGCAACGTTTACCGCTCATGCACAAAACAAGCCTATAGTGAGTGTGTGACTAACCATCACATATCATCAGTTATTTACTCCGAGTAGTAGTCGTTGTCTCTGCGCTGCCGTAATTGCCGCCACCGTGCTTCACATTTGGTTATGGTGAATGCCAGTTTTGTATATAGTATATACACAATATTGATAAAATTATTAATCGCTTCACTCTATCAGTTGGTTATAGCGATATATATACGTATTTGAGTATTGTATTATTGCCCATCCAATGAGCAACTACATATTATTTTATTCTTTTCGTCAAACACAAAAAGGAAACGAGAAACCGAAGAGAAAAACGTGAGCTAATATAAAACAAGCAAAAGAACAATAGAGAGAGAGAGAGAGAGAGAGAGAGAAAGAGAGAGAGAGAGGGAGGGAGTAAAAATACGTGTAGAAATATAATGTAACAAAAAGTCATGTAAAATAAGCTCTGCAAATGGCCAACTTCATATCATTTGTAATAGATTATGCGCTTCCATACAGAACATCGTCTATTTTACTTCGTGTGTCGATTGACATAACAGCTACTCGAAGCATATTTTATATTAGATCTCTCTGTTCGATGTGTGCTCATATTTAAACAACCAAGAAGAAGAAAAAAATCACACACACACACACACACACACCAAAAATCGGTGTCTCGTTATGAACGCGCTCAAATCGCGTTCGGCAATACGCAAAATACTATTTTTATTTGTCTCAGGCATTGAAAATGTATGTGACTGTGTGTCCATGCCGTTGTTATTATTGTCGTTTGTTGTTTCATTTGGATTTTTCTCGCCACACGGCGAATAAATTATTTATACTTGATATGAACACAAAACGAACCACAAAACAAGAAGAAAAAGCAATGGCACAATAAAAAGAGAGCCGTTTCGACATCGACAACACGCACACACACTTATGGTTTTTTTGGCATGCATAAAACTGATGGAGAAGAAGATGATGATGATGTGCATATTGAATTGAGTAAGGGACGCATGTCGTGGTTTGGATCGCACGCATTCAACATCATTTTGTAGAAGTCATCATCAAATGACCGAATTGTGAGCGTTTTTTTCATCCTTATGATGGAATTGAATATGCGGCGATATTTGATTTCGTTTGTTGATGGTAACTACGCAAAACCGAGATTTTTTTGTGTGAGATGGAGAAATTTTAATTCCATAATAGCCATAATTGGCCACTTCATAACTGCGCCAACCACAGCCCTTTCACACACTAACAAGCGTATTGGTTTCAGCTTTTTGATGAAGCGCATTTAAAATGCAAATAAGAAAAAAAACAAAGCATTCGAAATCAAAGATGGCGTTGCCACGATGCTCGGGTTATTTCATATTCGCTTCCAATTGAATGCTCAAAATAGTCTATCTATCAATGAGCAGCTGACAAAGGCAAACAAAACGAATAAAAAAAACAACGTAACTTCAAATCGATCGTCACTATAATGTCGAACCATAGACATTATACCATTTTCGCTCAATCGTTTGTTCGTTCGTTTGATGTGACTTTATCATTATTATCATTCGGTTTTCACTCTCGCTCATCATCACAATGATCTCCCTTGCAAATGCCACGATACACAACATAAATGTAAATTTGCTAAAAATTAATTTTCATGGTCTGCACAAAAAATGTAATAATAAATTTGTGTATAGGCGCGACTTCATGACGAGATGTTATCTCTCTCTCTCTCCTTTGTTGCATTCGGATATATCTCTTTCTCTATTGCTGTTCCATTTTTTTGTGCAGTGCTTTTCTACCTCAAACAGATCGTATCCCGTGTTTTCTCTATGTGCCTTTGAAATGGCACGGACGCAGAAGTCTGCACCTTTGCGTATATGTATAAAGAATGAAAGAGATGTGAGAGTGTAGCTATGTATGTGTATGTGTGCGACATTAGTTGTACGTCTGAATACAAGTGAACAGTATCATATTGGAATACGCAAAGGTGCAGACTACTGCGATTGTGCCATTTGAAAGGCACAACGAGAGAACGCGGGATTTATTTTCAATTCAACAAAAACAACAGCCCAAGTTAGCGGAAAAGAACTAGCAGCGGCAAAACGAAAAAAAATGTGAAAGTGTATGGTTAAATTGCACATCTAATGCATCCATGCGCAATATTAGTGCTTTAATAGCTAACTATTTATTAACTGGTTATGTGGTTTATAATATAGCAAACATTGGTTCGTTACCGATCGATCTTCATCGTTACCATAAAACGTTGGCCGAATTTTTACATGAATTGCTAACTTTAAATTGACTGTCGAAATGTTTGAAAGTTGTTAAGAAAAACTCTTCTCGAAGGCAAGCGAAAAAAAATGTTCGACAGATACACAAAAATATGTGGGGCCATTGTGGCATCTTCTTTTGTCGTAAATCGAGAATAATATTGAAACTCTTTCGCATCACTGCTTTTGTTTGCAATACGATACCTATTGAATCGATAGCATTGATTCTACGTTGGCACTGATGGCAAAATAAAAACAGCAACAACGCGCTACATCGAGAAGAAGAAGAAAAGAGAGCGAGAGAAAGAGACAAAATGTACGACGCCAATATAAATGGCTGAAGTTTACGGCAAAATAAGTGCAGTGTCAATAGTGCCATAAAAAAGCATAAAAGCGTGAAGCATGCAAAGTCCATGTCATCCATTCAAAATGCCTAGGGGACAGCCACCAAACTAGTTTTTCTAGTTTTTCTAGTGCGTGAAATTGGTTTTCTTGGCAGTTTTACGTACAATTTGTACCCAACTTAGTGTGAAGTTGGTTTCGTTATGTGCTAGTTTATACTAGTTTTTACTACTGTTTTTCTAGTTTTCTAGTTTGGTGGATAATCTAGGGGTTTGCATGTATTTTTATTGGATAATATTTGCGTATTATCGTTGCGTATTGGCATATCGGTGAAATATCGGCATATCTGTAAAATATCGTTAATATTCGGGTATTTTTTGATACTTAATTGTTCTGGAAGTGGGTTTTGGTGGATCCACAGGATCATCAGAACCGCTCCCAGTTCTGGAAGAGGGTTTTGGTGGATCCTCTGGATCGACCAGACCATGGTTTGACAATGCCCTGACCCATCCTGAGGGTCCACTTCCAGACCTGGGAGCGGTTCTGAACGATCCTGAGGATCCACCAAAGCCCACTTCCAGAACAAAGACACTTCGCATATCGGCGAATATCGGTAGATTTTTGGCACAAAATAGTGAAATCGGTAAAGATTTGCATGATTTGTAAAAATTTGTATTATTTGTTATACTGTTGTTTATTCGTCGAATTCGTGAAACAAAATCTTACATGAAAACCCCTAGTGGATAATCCCTAGTAAAATGCAGTTTCAGTTATCGATAGATATAAGAAATTGTTTGCATAACTGAACGTAACTTGGCAACAAGTCTCGCGCTTTATATACAATCTCAACTGATTTTGTGTGGTTGTACACGGTGGTATGTCACCGGGGGGACATCTACGACAGAATTTTTTGGAAATGATTTTAAAAAAATGTGCCCAATTTGTGCCATTTAGTGCCG